TATCCCACCCTTGCTTGAGAGCGCAAGTATGAAACTAGTAATGTCTACAAGCTCTCCACTATTGTCTGAAACAGACAGGGCCGAGGCTGTTGATTTTGAGATCAAGTCATTAATGGTGAAGTGTCCTCCACCTAATCTGGCTGAATTCAAAGAGAAGTCAGCAGACGACCCCTATTTCTACAGTTTAAAGTTCGAGTTTCCAGGATTTGTAGGCCGCTGGTGGGAATCTGTGACGATGTCTGATGAGTTAAAATTAAACCTTTCATGTGGTTTAGCAAGCGACGGAATCGTTGATATTGCCCATCTACCAAGTGGAAAAGTACCTGATGTTTTATCAAGTGTGCCAACAGCTGAGGAACACATGGAACCCATAGTTACATGGAAGTCCTCGTTTAAGAGATTTTTACCAAGTGAAGCGGCAATGGATTTGAAAAAGAGGGTCAGAAGAGGAAACATGTGCTATGGTGAGCTGTCCCGTTTTGTCAAAGATGGAAGGTCAGACATCATCGACCCGTGTTTTAAAAACTACCACTGTGGATTTTGGATAGACCTTTCCCCATTAGTCGAGGACGGCATTACAGAAGCTACATTGACCTGCATTTTACAAGATTGTAGGGCTAATGGCAAGCCTTTTTTTACACAACCTGATCGAGTAGTAGATTTGAAAAAATCTGTATCCTTGGAGCAAGTAGATCCACAGGCACCAGACAAAAACTGCTGGAAAGAATCTAAATCATTTCTACAGATTCACGTCCGGACAAGCCAGCCTTTAGAACCAATTTGGTTTCCTCCACCAGAGCCTCAAATAATGCTTTGTGATGTAATTCCTCCAAGGCCAAAAAGACAGAATGTTTACAACGCTATGCAAGTGGCCATTCAGCAGTTCAACGCTTTCATTATAATTGCAGCAAAAACGATAGCAGAATGTCATGTAGAGCTCGTAAACAAAAGGAAGAAGCAAAAAAGCTGCCTCGGATGCCTTTCAAGGTGTAGTTATTTTCCTTATGATCTATACAACCTTGTTTATTACAGGGTTAAGCATATGGAAGAATTACGGAAGCATTTGTCTCAGGAGTTGCATAATCTTGGGGCGTGGCAAGAAATAAAAGAAAACATGAAATCTAGTGTTTTCAAAATAGCATCGGAAAGGTTCAAATTTAAAAGGGAAGATATCATCAGGAGTAACAAATTTGAGTTCTGTAATACTATATATGTCCAATTAATGGAAGAGATACAGCTTACCCTTGCAGAAGTATTTTCTGAGGTAATTTCACTGCATCTACTTATTTTACATTAAAGGGCTTGCATATCGCAGAAAAGAAAGATCGACAGAAACTTGCCACAAACAATTTACACACTTGAATCATTAAAGCAACTTGCAGATGAGTACGAGGTGCAGATGATTTTACTATGTTGAATGTCTTTCGTTTTATTTTATTTTCATGATTCAGGTTGAAGGAGACTTGAAATCAGCTGACAAGTTCCATCTTGACAGACTTATTGGGGAAGGAGCAAATTGTCCGCACACCTGGTTTCAATATGGATCATACTGGATGCGGGTATAGAATAGCTGTCATTAAAATCTTCCAAACCGTCATGACTGCAGTGCAAAAATAAAGACCATGGAAAGGCCGAGGAATGTTTTCGTGAGGCTATTAATCTGTACCGGGAGCATCTGCCCAGTCTTTTAGCGTTTGCTTGCCTTCTCTGGCATAGGGGTTTCTATGATCAAGCAGAAACTATAATTAGAAGTGCCATTGATCTAAATCCTGAAGAAGAGTTTGTTTTATGGGCAATCCTTGCAAGAGTAAGAACGTTTGTACAAAAGCTTACGATTTTAAATTTCATCTTGCTGCATAGATATATGATTCAAGATCGGAAAGGACTAGTTTTCTTTCTGCACGTAGAAGAGCCGAAGTTCTTTTCAATGAACTCATAGCACTTTCAGAGCATACCCCTCTTCTGAGAATGGACAGTGCTGGATTTCCATTTAGTGCAACAAGCTTTATTCTCAGAAATGCCATGTCCAACAGTCCATTTGTCCAGGCAGCTCTTTGCCTGCTGGATCTTAATTTGCCAGCTGAAGCGCACGATCTTTTGATGCTTGAAGACGAAGTGTTTACGTGCACAGTAGAGTTCAAACTTTCCCTCGCGATAGTTGCACATCAAAAAGGTGATATGGTGGAATCGGAAAAAATGTTCAAGGAAGCCCTTAATTTGGAGTATGAGGATGCAAAAACATGGTGTTTGCTAGCTCATGTGAGGTATTCTGATAATCAGTTTGAAGAATCTCTGAAGGCCTATATGAAGGTAAATTTTATATTCCAATTACTGTAGCTAAAATACTGCTTTATAAACAGACTCTTCACTTTAAGAAGGGCGAGTTGTATGAGTACGCTCACATAGAACTCGGAAACATATACATGAGGCTCGGGAATTTTGAAAAGGCAAGGCAGACATTTCTAACAGGAGCAACATTATTTCCATGCAGCAGTATGTGGCTCGGCGCTGGCGCAGCATTTTACAAGTTAGGGGATATGGTGAACGCTGAAATAGCTTTGGTAGAAGGCAACTTGTTGGATTCCCAGAATTTTAAGATATGGGCTTATCTTGCGCTTGTTTGTATCAACACGTCAAGAATGGAAGAGGCCGAATTCGCTCTGCACCAAGCATTGAAGAACATTAAAGATGCAAAGCTCCTTTATGAAGTGGGCGTTGCTTTTGCATCCAAAAAGAACTTCAGGTTACGAAATAGTACAAAGTAATTTGTAAATGTGACATTTTCATACAGGTTTGCGGAGATGGCATTAACGGAGTCTCTAAGGGAGGAAAACAATTTAAATGCAAGATTCGACCTTGGTGACGTTCTATATCAGCAAGGAAAAACCAACGAGCTCTGCTGTTAGTAGCATTTGTATCAAAGGATAAGTAGTTATGCAATGAAGTGAGCAGACAAAACACAGCACTTTAAATTTTCCTTTAGTGACCGAATTTATTCTCAGAAACAAACATGATATCTGCCATATAAGTGCGCTGTCAGTCATATAGTTCGTCTTTCTTCATGATGGAAAAAAACTCGACTTCACTAATTTCCCCATCACCATCTTTGTCAACTGCGTAGAATAACAATCAAAATGAAAAAAATTAAATTTTCCCGGGACTTACACTCGTCAATCATTGCACCCAGTTCCTCATCTGTAATATGTTCCCCAACATCTCTGGCAACTTTCCTCAAGTTCTTAAGCTGCAGAAACACTTTGGTATAACAAGACCTTAACATGAGAAACAGATCTTACTGAGATTTTTCCAGTACCATCCTCGTCAAAGCATCGAAAAGCTTTTGCAATCTCCTCGTCAGGATCTTTCTCCTTGTACTTGGCAACCACTAATGTGAACATTAATCAACAAATCTTTTAATACTCCGTCTTACTTATTTCCATGAACCCGTCAAGATCGACTTCCTCTAAGTCAATCCTTGAGTGTTCCTCTATCAGCTTTTTCACCTCAGCCTTTTTCACATCTAAATCCAAAGCTCTCATTGCAACCTGCAAGATATGCCTTAGAGGAATCCCATGGTGTCAAACGTTAATTACCTTTACCTCCCGATATGACAGCCTGCCGCTTTTTCTAGTGTCGAAAAGCTCAAACGCCATCCTTATCTCCTGCTTTTCGTCCTCACTGATGTCACTCCGCAATCTTCGTGTCACAACTGCACGTGGGACACCAGCCCCATATAAGGCAGATGATGCTGTGGTTGAGCCCGAGCCCAAAGCTGACAGTCGTGCAGCAGCTGAAAACGGTGGGATTGGTGACGAACGTGCAGACTCCACAGTGGGTGCCACTTGCCCTTGCAGAGATGCAGCAACAGGCGTGTTGACTCCGTTGTTGTTGCTTCCTGACGTTGTGGTTGCCCATCTTTTGTAAAGGTGATGGTGGTGATGATGGTGAAGGGGAGGTGGGATTCCCATCGCTTCCACTTGCTGCTGCATTTTACAAAGATAAACACAAAGAAAATAGTTTCAAATTTTTGACCTGGCGGTTAGAGGTATATACTGGATTTTAATTCTCTTCTTCTGTATTATGCCAGGAGCACCTTGTTGGTCTACTTTAGTAAGCTCGGGCTTACCTGAAGACTGGTGGCTGCAGAAAGTGACAAGAAAACTTCTTCCCAAATTCGCTGAAAGTTCTCAACAAACAGTTTTGCCACAATGTCGTACAACAAAACTATGCAAAATTAATGTCAAGGAGAAATTCCACAATACAATTTATGAGCGCTAAAGGCACGATGGTGAAGACGAATAAAGAAGGGAGAAGCTCATTCGCTGTTTAAGAATAGCAAGACTCAATGCTTCGTTCTCTATGTTTGAATGTCCATGCTAGCCCTTTTGCATGGATTCTGATCACAAGAACGAAACTGAATGCTTACAGACTGCGTTCAGCTGACAAAAATATCTCAACGTTTGAAATCCTCATGCTGGTGTTGGGGATATACACGTTTACAAGTGGAACAAAGTTAAACACCTCACATCGGAAAATGGCCGGTAATGAGCCTATAAGTCAATCACGAGACGGTAAACCAGGGATCCAACTTAGGAAAACTAGGAAATGTTTTTATGGCTAGAATCCAGTTGGCCAGAATCTTTACCGTTAGATCAAAGGTAGCATAGTTACATTCTAACCAAGACATTCTTCTCTGAAAAGAAGACAGTCCAGCAGTTTAAATAGCGCACGTTTTTTCTGTTGGAGCAGCACTTTTATTCGCTACTCTAGTGGCAATAATAGAGGGAACAAAAGAAATAAATTGATTGCGGGAGACGTCAATGCATCTTGTTCAGCATGCAAGCTTAATTAAATGTTTCTTGGAAGGCTCCATGAGACCTTGCAAACAGTTCATGAATGAATAAACGAAGTGTCATGGCCGCAGTGCTCTCCACAGTCCACGATAGCTCGATCCTTCAAGGCATATTATTGAAGGACTCCCATAGCTTATTGGCTGACCAATGCAGGGAGATTGGCCATTTGCATTGGCCTGGGATGAGGCATACTGTGTTTTATTTGATACTCAAGTCATCATCCACTGCCACCATGCTCTTGTTGCTCATGAAAACCTCATGACCACCGTCAGTGATGAGTGCATGAGTTCTAACACTGGATCATCTAGAGACTTTCTTAAAAAAAGAATTTTAGCTGGTCATAAAATGGTTGGGGTGCACTCACTTTCAAACAGGGTGTCGCACACAACGCAACCACAATTACCACTAACAGTTCCTTAGTTAGGGTTCTGCATTTGGTATGGATTAGGGAAACTTTCAGTAGAAAGCTATGGCAGTCACAGCCGTCACGACTGATATGCTGCGCTCGTGCATCAAGGCAAATTGACTGATTAAACTTCTCATCTTGAAATTTTTGTTTTTCAGGTAGAAGGAGGATCGCCTGAAAAACTAGAGGAAAGAAAGAGGACAATGCCTTTGAGTACTGTGACATGCCTAATCTTCTCCTTCAAGTGTGAGTACAACTTAATCAGGATTTCTTTTTTTTAATCTAATTGTAATTTCCTTAGGTCAGCGATCAATCAATTGGTTGCATGGACTTGGGTCTTTAACCAAACTCTATCTCGATAACAACGACATTTCTAAAATTGAAAATCTTTCTCACCTGGCAACTTTGAAACTGCTGGGTAAGAAAAAATTTCTTTAGTCTACTACTAACGTGCGTTTCTCTATTAGATTTGTCCTTCAATAAAATAAAAAGCATAGGTGGTCTTGAGACTCTAACAAACCTGGAAGATTTGTCACTATATCACAACGAAATTGAGAAAATCACAGGCCTTGACACACTACAAAAGATCACGTCTTTTTCTCTTGGCAAAAACAGAATAAGGCGTCTGGAAGACGTGCGATAAGAAACACAAACTCATGTTTCTGCTACTCTGTTAAATCTGAAAGCACTTGCAGGTAATTCCGCTTCGCCGCTTAAGAAATCTCCACGTGCTGACTCTTGATGGAAATCCTCTTGCTACGGTTAGTGTGTCTTGATAAATTCATAGTTTCTGACGCTTGTTCAGTTTTTTTATTTAGGATCCCGAATACAGGATCTATGTTATTTCCCACCTGAGAGATTTGACATATTTTGATCATAGATATGTAGACAGAGCTGCAGTAAATATTTCCCTTCCAGTGACTTGTCTTAAATTAATTCAGCAGGTGGTAGCCGCTAGGGATCAATACCAAGATGATATGACAGATTTAAAACAAAAAGAAGCTGAGGAAGATCTTCTTATTAAGGCAGCTGAAGAGCATGCAACTCGACAAGCACTTTACAAAGTATACATCACACTAATACTAGGATCTCACTTCGAAAATGTGCAGGATGCTAACCTGCTAGGATGTGACACCCTCTTCGAGAGAATGATTTCGGAAGATGTAGAGTACCCCAAACTTAGCCAAGTTCCTGGTCTCCTAGCTTCTATGGACGAGTATTTCCGTCTGGTTTCTCCTCATGTCGATTTTGACGTCCTTAAGTCAGATATAAAGAAAAATATGTTACTGCGACTGAAGAGATTATTGGAACAATTTTGGCTGAATACAAGAAAAAGCAAGTTGAAATAGAGTTCTGGCAGTTTACTACAAATGCTTTACTTGACGTCAGGGACAAAGAATCCCGAGAATACGCGAGAAAAATAAAAAAAAATAAAAAAAAGGTCTGTGTTCTTCTAGTTTTACCTGATTCAAAATGCTTGCTTGCAGATTCTTGCAGAGGTTCGTTTAAACTCCAGCACAGCAGACAAAAATCTGGCGCTTCTTAGAGAAGACAACGACAGGACTAGGGAGAAGTTGTTGGAGCTTGAAATGTTAACATTTGGTGAAGTTCATGTAAGTCCATGACGAAAATATTCTAGTATAATTCATCCTTTTCTAGGACATATGGTCGGCTTTCGACAACAACTTCACTGCAATTGTTGACACAAACAAGATTCAATTTCAAAACTAATATCCTTAAGAACTCTTCTTTTTACCATGTCTGAACCTTAACAACTGGACCACCTTCGGAACCATAAGAATGTCAGAAAACAACTGCTCTGAAACAGTAATGGCGCAGGCTTCACTTCTTATGGAACAATTTTCACTAGGGGAACTTGAAGTCGACTCAGATGAAGGTCGCATGGTAACTGTTGTAATTTCGCTTTCTTTTTCTCATCCCATCTGTTTCAGTTGCTCCGTGACAAAGATATGATACTCAATGCGATTCAAGCTTCTCACGATGCCAGAACACTGAAGATAGACTCACTAGTAATATCAGCTCCTCAATGTTTAACCTAGTTGTGCTTTAACAGGAAGACCAGAGATTGCGTGGGGAAGAGGAAATGCAAAAAGCAATGAACAAAAGATTTAGACAAGAAGAAAATAAGAGAAATCGGGAAAGGATTGAAGAGATTGACTTTCTTCATCAGACTACAATTGATGAAATTACCGATCTTCTTGGAAACCTTGAAGTGGGGAATGTTTGGTATGTATTGATCATTCTTCTTCCTTTAAACTATTCCTGTGGCAGATTGGAGCACGGTGAAGCTATGATATTTATAAAGGGTAGATCTGATGAGTTGAGCTTTAAAAACCCAGTTCCAGGTCTACATTTGAATTAATGTTTTAGATTTAAACACTAACCGTGTAGTAGCAAACATGCTTCCTTTATTTGGAACCCAGTTATTACTTAAAATTTTTGTTTTGGTTCTTTCAATCACCTTGGAGGACATTGTCTGCATAGCATGCTATTTATTAAGTTCTAAAAAGTGTTATATTGTTACTTTTGGAGAGAAATTATGCGAGAGCATGTTGCTCCAATGCTCTGGAGATGATCTAAGTTTAAAGCTAATTTTTCTAGCCAGCTTAACCTCTAGTTCAATGATTGTAGCAATACCAAGCTATCTACCGAATCTTGAGACAAATATTTTATTTGTTGTGTAGAAGAAAAGAGCTTTCTGTAGACTGTCCGAGTGATTTCCTGGGCAGTGTTATGCACCAGGAAGTAAACAACAGAAGAGGCCCTAGACTAGCACTAAACCTTGTCCCAAGGATGAGCTGGATTGGTGATCAATACCCTTTCTGGGGACTTGCTCAAATCTCTGGCCTATCATCCTCAGTTGTAGACCATTGGGCCCTTTGCTCTGAGATACACCTTTTAAATAGCTGATATAAAATATTGGATGAATTTTCACCCCACTAACAACTCTAATTGATTAGTGATCTTACTATGCTCCACCATATCATATGAACCAACATATCTATGAGAAATTTTGTCACTTTCTTAAGGCACTAGTAGTTAATGGCCAAGAGAAGATAACCATGGCAAGGTAAAAGAAATAGACAGAGGATGGATGAAAGCTTTGTGGATCATAGAGCTTTCAATGATCATGCTTGAACTGCTTTACAATATGGCACTTGCACCTCATACACTCAGATGAGTCTCTCCTCTAGAGAGATTTCACTGTTAAATTCATTAAATTCTGACTGCCTAAGAATTGCAGTGAGTCCTCAATCTTCTGAAAATCTCTTTGTTTCTTCTTTTCAGTTTCTTTACTGTGAGTTAATTTTGAGACTCAAACCAAAACCCAATTTTCTAAACACTTCGATATTTGTTAGTGAGGGTGGCCTCTTAAGAACAAATACTTGTTGTTGCCTTTCCCCCAGTGTTAAATCACTCCAGGCACTGTTAGTTTTGCTAGAGGCAGTGCTAACATGTTTTAGCTGATCTTTTAGATGGGAATTGTCCTTCAAATATCTTGAATTATGCTCAGATTCCTAGGTTTTGCACTTCTTCTGAGGAAGATGAGAGCATAACCATTATGTGGACCAATGAGTGGGCAAATTTACATTTCTTGTTATGATTAAAAGTGTCATTTTATCTTACAATACCAGATGTTATGCAACAAGCTCTTTTCTGGACATGTAATGACAAGGACCAAGCTCAATATCATGGGTGTTCCTAACACTAGCAAGTGCAAGCCAATATATGAATTCTCATACTGGCTCAACAAGAAACACATAGGAGTTTCTACTTTATGTTTATCCATCATAGGTACATATATGATAATGTAAAACACAAATCCCTAAGCCCCAAAGTGGGGCTGAAAGAGTGCATATGGTAGTGGCAAAAGTAGAAGTCCAATGAGTGTAATACATTTAGACTAAAAGCTCTGACTTGGTAAGTTGAGAGTGGGAGTGAACTCCTAATAAAGTGAGCATGAAGTAATCAATAAGTGAGTCTTTAAAAAGGGATGTGACTTTGGGTATCGAAAGATACTTGTCAACTAATCCTTACGGATACTCTTTCCTTACTGCCATGACGGTAGGAGGTTGATACAATTGGATCCCTTTGGTAGCCCTTCTTGTGCTAGTGGAGTTAACTGGGCATTTTGAGTGTACTTAGACCGAACAAGCATAAGGACGGAATTCCTACGTGCTATTAACTAAGCATACTTAGCCTGGTAAGGAGTTCCCATCTCATTATGTCTTGTAATGGTTAATGACAAGAACCATCGCCTATTGAGACTAGTCCCTCAATACCACTAGATGATAATTTACCATGTTTGCCAAACACCCTCGCTATCATGCCTTTTGTGTTAGTCTCATTTCGGTCCCAAATGCTAATTATGGAAAGTGTCTAGATTTGCTCATTTGGCATATTTACGGATTGTAAAGATTGTCCTAAACACAATGGTGTTTGTCCCGTGTCCAAATTTGCAATCTAGGGATATTCCATATTTAGTAAGTTTCGAGTTTGTCTCAGAGACTAACTTCTGGTACTAACGGAGGCTTGGGGTGAAAGTGTTCCTCATGGGGGGGATATTGGGGGTTCCAAATGTATAGTAGGGATAGTGGTTGGAATGCATGTCCGACCACGTAAGACATTAGTTTGGCTCCCGCTGGGCTATGTCGCTCCTTGTTTTGTGTTCGGCTTGGGTTTAAGCCCAAGCTCCACACTGCTTTAGTCGGTGGGGTGCCCTCCTCCTCACATTAGGCCAACCAGTATGCTAAAATTGTGCTAGACATTGTTTGACACCATTTTGTGTGTAGGTGCTGAATATGGGGAGCTAGTGCTTGTGGGATTGTACCAGACCCTCATTTCGTAGTGCAACGGGCTTGGAGTTCGACTCCAAATTTAGGTGTGCTACAGATACAAAAGGGACTAACACATGGCAAGTGTTGTGACACATGGACTGAATCCAAGGAGTTTGACATGGAGTCCAATAGAGAGTCCAAGATGGAGAGTCTAAGAAGGAGTCTAAGACCAGGTTTAAGACCAGAACCAAGACTGAGATTAGGTCCGAGACTAAGTTTGAGTCCGAGTCCAAGGGTGAAAGCCCAAAGTGATCATCTTCCAAACCCAAGGGGATTTGGTGAGTCCCTATGGAATACTAAGATGGAGAACTTTAGTGGAACTAATTTGGCTAGGAAAGGCTAGTGTGACTAAAGAAGGCTACACATTGTACCATGTGGTGGGTGATGATATAACCATTGAGGAGTCCAAGGTTAGATTGCATACAAATGAACAACTAAGGTAACTTGGTGAAGTGTTCAAGAGTTGGCTCTAGCTCCCGCAATAGATCAGATGGTCAATGCTCTCAATCCAACTGTGGGTTGCACTACCTACTTAGATAACTTTGCATGGCTCATTGAAACCTCACTTTAACCACATAGTTGGGGCACTCTAGTGGTGGGAGGTGTGGGGAGTACCCATGAGGTTAGGTTATGGTGTTTCAAAATGTCATCCTAAAGTCCTAGATTATAGAAAAAAAGAGGAGTGGTCTTCTTACTTGGTGACCAAGGGTATGATTATATGGTGATGAATCCTTAGAGGTTAGTAGGGCTTAGTAGATGGGCTTTTAGGTATTAGACTAATGGTGGTATTGGCTAGCACTGGTATGGATGGAGAGGGACTTGGTGGGGATTGAAAAAAGGATATTGAGGGATAATGCTCCCTATGTCTTAAGGCATTTTAAGGATCCTAAGATGTGGTCATGGAATAACCACTCATGGATGGATGGCCCAGTCTTGGAGAGATGAAATTGTATTGCAGGTGATCTTCAACTACCAATAGGACAAGGGTGAATAGATATAGTTTTAGTATAATAAGTTGAGATGTTGGTGGTACCTTTACCTTCCTTAGCCACAGTTGCCTTTCTTGGCCAAACTGGTTTCATTGGAATCTTGCCCCTACTATCCTTTTGGAGCTCACTAAACCCCCTAGGGTTTAGGAGACGGTTGCTTTGGGCTTTCACCCTTGGACTCGGACTTGGACTTGGTCTCGGTCTCAGTTTTGTTCTCGGTCTTAGTCTTAGTCTCTGTCTTGGTCTTAGTCCCCATTTCAAACTCCTTCGTAGACTCCATCTTGGATTCCTTCTCAAACTCTTTAAATTCCATCTTGGACTTCTTAGATTCCTTCTCAGACTTCATCTTAGACTCCATCTCGTACTCTTTCTCAAACTCCATCTGACGCCCACGCATGGTATCCATCATGCCATGCATCTCGTCTTGCATCTCTTGCTGATCTTAGATTCCTTCTCAAACTCCATCTTAGACTCCTTCTCAACACTTCCATGTGTCACGACATGTTAGGCACCAGGTCAGGATAATAGGATAAGGAAAGGGCCCTGCAATCAAGTGATCACCCCTTTAGCTAGTTGGCTTAGGGTGTAAGGGATAGGATCCTAACAATGGTATGTTATGATCCGGCGCAAAAAGACAAAGATCTAGTTGCCCTAGATTATGCTACGCCACCTCTTGAGGTTCCTCACCACCCAACCACCCCCGAGCTACCTCAAAAGCTCCACTGCGCTGCCGCTCCACTGTGAGCCCTAGGGTAGGTTAAGTTCCTTACCCTAACATGCCTTAATATACCCTTGAGCCTCCCTTTGACCGACGTTGACCACATAGTCAAAGCTGGTGCCTAACACGACACTTACCATGTGTCACCTCTTCTTGTGTCCCTTTTTAGACACTCATTCATCAATCATTTCATACTCATTCTCGAACACTTTATTCAGAGTTCCACTCTCGTTAAAGCTTTTGGTCTCAATGTGTTATGTGCACTGGACTTTTGTTTCAACCACTAATGTTGAAATTGTTGGCAAAGTAAGTAAGTAATTAATTGATTGAATTGAATTGAATTGATTGAATTTTTCAGCAAAGTAAGTAATTATATAATTGATTTTCAAAAGAGATGCTTACAACATTATCATATTTTAGTAATACTTAATAAAAAATACAAAATACAAATATTGATAATGTAGATAATATTATATGTGCAGAAATACTTAATCCCAATGAAGATTCAGAGTTATATGAGTTGGTGAAAAAAAAATGACATATGAGCCTTGTAGACCTGGATTTATAGATAATCCTTGTTATAGAAATGATGCTAACTATCCTAAAAATCTTTAGAAAGAAAATCAAAGTATTGGTGGTCAATTTCCACAGTATAGATGACTAGAGCATGGATATTTATATACAGATATTGACCAAGAAAATAAATAATAAATTGTTGTGCTATATAAAAATATCTTCATCATAAATATCCAACTCATGTGAATAATAGTGAAAAGAATTTTATATATATGAGAGAGGCATGACTGTGCCTTAATAAATCTTTGAAAAGATAATGACATAAGTAATGAAAAAATATTAAACTCAGATGAAATTACTGCCTTTTGAAATTGCCATCTGAGTTTATGTAGAGAATATTTAGGTATGATTTACCTAGAAAACCTCATAGAATTGAAATATTAGAAATATATCTCCCAAATTTACAAAGTGTCTATTTTAATGAAGGTGAAGAAGAAATAGTACTAGAAAAGGGTAAACAGATGAAGCTAACTAAGTGGTTAAATTGAATAAAAGAGATGTGGATGCTAGAAAGTATACATTTATAAAAATTCCAGGAACTTATGCTTTGGACAAAAAGGCAATAAAATAAAAAAATATTGGTAGAATATATACAGTTCCCCTCAAGATAACGAGTGATGTATTATTATTATATAAAAGAGGTACACAGAGTTTTAATGATCTAAAAGTTTTAAATGGTAATACATATGAAACATGCAAGTTTGTGGTACATGATATGGGGTTATTGCAAGATGACGATGAATGGGATAGATGTCTTGAGGAAGTTATTACATTTCAAATTCTAATTAGAATACGCTATTTATTTGATATTATGTTGATCTCATAAATCCATATATATTATGGAACAAATATAAGAAAGATGTGTGGGGATTTTATTCATTGTTATTATTCTGAAGAAGAAGTATATAACCATGCTATACTTTTTGGGAATTATCAGAAAATTTTGAATAACATAATAGAACTTTGAGCGATTTTGAGCTGCCAAAACCAATAATAACTATAACAACTATTTATAAGAATGATACTGAAGTTATACCTGAACATCATATTATTGAAAAGAATATAAGTTTTCTTAAAAAAGAAAAATATGATAGTTTTGAAGCAATAATTACATCATTGAATAATATTGACAAAAATAAATTATTTTATATTGGTGGAGTTGGTGGCACTGGAGAATAAATTTTATTTAATACAACTATAATGCATCTGAAAATATTGGAAAAAACTATAACAATAATATGGATTGAAATAGCAAGGAAAATTTTAATTGGTAGACATACAATTCACTATTATTGAAACAAGTACATATAACTTATATGGAAATTCTAAAGCAGGAGAAAATGTTAGAAATGTAGATATAATTATATGGGATGGAAAAAGGAAGGTATCAATTTATGCTTTTGAAGTAGTGGAAAAGGTGATATGTGTCATAATAAATTCAGAAAAATATTTTGGAGGAATTATAGTTGTGGCTGGTGGGGATTTTTTTCAAACTTTACCTGTTATTAAAGGAGGAAGTAGATCACAGATAATTTAAAATTGCATGAGAACTAGCACTTTGTGGAAGAATTTTAAAAATTATATTTTAAACATAAATATGTGTATAAATGAAAATGAAAAAGAATGGATTAAATGGCTTATAAAAGTTAGGTTATATGAGTCAAAAGAAAATGCAATTAAATTATCTTTAAAATGTACATCTAGGGAAGATACGATTGATGTTGTGTTTAGTAAAAATATATCAGCAAACAATAGTTTTACACAGAGTGAAGAATGAAGAATCATTATAAATAAATGAACAAGTAGTGTCATGCAGAATGGGTAAATTGTTATCCTACAAAAATATTGATAATTTTGAACCAGACATTGTAGATTTTCCTATTTGATTTCTCAACTCAATAACACCATCTGATATACCTGCACATATTTTAAGTATTAAGGTTAAATATGTTGTTATGTTAATGCATAATCTATCACAATAAGGAGGAGTTGTTGAACTTTCTGGGCTGCCGGATCTAGCCAATCACAGCCGTCCGATGGGGGGGGGGGGGTAACTGTAAAAGGGTTATTTCTTTAACCACGTGTTAGCGAATAATCGTGCTGATGTTTGCTCCCAGCCAATGGGAGGCGGCCAAGCTGTGTGGGGCGAGAGAGGAAGGCGCTGCAACATGTGGCACATGCAAATGTGTTGACTGTCTGGGCATCTAGATCGCTCAAGCAGCAGCAGCAGCCCAAGCCCGCGAGGAAGATCTGGCGACTGGAGCAGGATTGATCATCCTCCTGGCGGTGGAGCGAGGTGTCACAGCATCCGGACATGCCGCTTGACTGGAATGCGGTGTTCATCTGCTGGATGTCATGCTGCAAAGTGTTGACTGTGAAGATTGGCCCGGAGGCACTAGATGTGCTATCTCTAGATATAAACATCTATTTATTATTGTTATTTACTTATATTTTTTTAAAATGATACAATTTCATACTTTTTCAACATTTACTAAAAGCATTTGATCATATCAGATCATCTTTGATATTAGAAAATGATCTTATATCAAATGGTCGTCTATTAATGATATTTTGATATATGATTTTCTATATCTAGAATTTAATATTGAAATCACAACTTTCTATATTTCTACTGGATTAATTTTTAACCTAAACATTTTTCTAAATGAAATCTTGCTCCCTAGTAACAACCTTAGATCTAGCAATATTATACTGTCGACCATTTAATCAAGAATTTCCTAGGTTGTGACAATAAGCTTACATGCACAAATTACTAAATTATTTATATGTTATTCATAATTCTTAACCAAATTAAGTTCTTGCTTCATTAGTCAAATACATGCTCAACCAAATGTTCCAATTTCATTGTGTTTTTATCATATTTATCTTGTTTCTTTTCAGTTATTATAATTGCATATTATTTCATATATTCATAAAAAAGCTGAAGTATTACACTTGGAGATAAAAAATAATAAATGTCTGTTGATTTTTCACTTTTCCAAAAACAGTATTAAGCATATTGTTTGTGTGACTTGTTCATACTGTTATTTGATTAATTTAAATTGCATATAATCATTGCAAGAACTTTTCATTATGAATAATTCCATCCTTATATTTAAATTTAAATTTTTTATGCTATATATATATATATAATATTTCTATGAATTATTATTATATATAATTATATTTTGAATATAAGACATGTGATTACTGTGCATTCAAGAAAACACTCATGGCCTACCAACATAAGCAAGAAGTCGCAATGTTATTGAAAATATAGATCTTAACCTCTGATTTTACTAAGTTTTTTATGATTAATCATAGAAACAATAGAGATTCTTCTGAAAGAAAAGAGAAAATGCAAGAAAAAGAGCATTAGAATCACATTGCATGGTGTGATCCGCACCTTGGAAGGCTACAAAGACTGTCAAAAGATCTTGATATAGTCTCCAAAGCTATGAACTTACAACACACTCATCCAAGGATAGGAGGGCCTGTCCAAATAAACATTAGAGCGTTTCTACATTTAAATGGATAGAGTTGGCTATGCAAATAATGTGCTTTGCTATCATCATGGCCTGCTTGAGGAGTGAACCAAGATGTTGGCACTGGGCCATTGGCTTGACTCCATGTGCTTTAAGCAAATGGCACTCCATGTGTGACAAACAATAGGGAAAAGGAAATTAGTGAGCTTTGTGAGAAACCTTTACTAAAGCATACCTATTTGTGCTCATGTGTCATTATCTTTTAGTGTGTTCCATCTCTAGAGTTTTAACACTAACAAGAAATGTGATTGGGAGCTGTGGTACTGATGATCTTGAGCATCCCTTATCTCCATCTTCTTCAGAAGCTACTCCAGCAGAGTCCCCCAAATAATGGTCAGCAAAGGAGAAACTGATCAACCAAGGATGGCATAACGATCTTGAAGAAGAATCAATTCCCTCTCCAGCACTCTCCAACTTTTCTGCATACTCCATCCAAGATCACATAGTTTAGCTTGAAATGCAAAATCAATGTCACTCTTGGAACGCTTTTGTTTTTGATACATGAAGTAAAATGGATCCGTTGCAGCCCTTAAAGAAATAACACACCAAAGGAAGCTTCCTGCTCTAGAGCAAATGAACATCCTCAAGAACCTGGAAATGTCCCAGAAAAGGTGGTAGATCTGCAACATGCAGATCAATGTGGTACCTACAAAATAGATAGCAATAAAAAGATAAGGACTTTACTGGAAAGAGTGTTTGCTCCAAAAAAAAATACCTATGAAGACCGGATTCAACATGTGAATAACTTTCCACAATTTCTTATGATTAAGCTATCAAATCCCATGGTTGATAAGAGCTGTCCAAGTGATGGCATGAAAATGCTACAACCTTTGTCTCAATCCATAGTCCAAAGTTAGGACTTATGGAATTGTAGTGTAGCTCTTGTGTTCCTCAGCCAGAAGCTTCTCTGGAGCTGCGATGGGATACAGCCAATTCGTCCCATGTTGGATTTGCCATCACCGATCGAGGCTGTACACTGTCTGTACAGTGAGCAAAAGGCAAATGTGGAAAAGGTGTTTGCCACTATCTTTCTCTTCTGATTTGCTGCAAACATACCAAAATTTCTCTTCACCAAGTACAAGGTACAACTTGTTAGTATTTTCTTGTCTCAGCTATCAAGTTCCTCTCAAAAAACTTATAAAGCATGCTATTAGAGCTTTCTTGACATGCTCGACCATCAAGATGAAGCTCCCTTCTTTAATTAAAAACAAATTCGTGGATAACATAAACAAGCCAAGGTACAACCCCGTCCAAAGTATTGAACATTGCTCCAATCCTCATGCTTGTTCTTGTTATACATAGAATATATGAAGAAGGCCTTCTTACCAAGCAGTGCTTACCCTCGCCAAACCGAGCTTTCAAAATCTTCTAGTTTCTGGCCAACAGCTTCAAGTAATTCTTGAGCAGTCAAAGTCCATCAAAAATCATTTAGTTGCCCTAGACTATGCTATGCCACCTCTTGGGTTCCTCACCACCCAACCACCCCCGAGCTACCTCAAAAGCTTCATTGCGCCACCGCTCCACTGTGAGCCCTAGGGTAGGGTTGAGTATTTTCCCTTAACATGCCTTAATATACCCTTGAGCCTCCCTTTGACCGACATTGACCACATGGTCAAAGCTGGTGCCTAACAAGCGGTGGTTCCCACTGCAGTAGCATGTGTTTGCAAGGGCTGGGAAGTTGAAGGATTCTGAGGGGATTCTGGGCAAGAGGAGTGAGGGTGTGTGAGGGAGTCTGCATGGAAATTGGGAGATCCTTCACAGCATGAGCAGTGACCAAAGCAGCAACAGTGGTCTCTTGCTTTAATCTGGTGCCAAACACTTGCAAGTCACACTGATACACTTGCAAGACTTCCTCTCACCAAGCTTCCAAAGCTCCAATCACTGCAGAGAATGGAATGACACAGCCATTAAGCTGTATAAATCTGAAGAAAGTTTTCCGATAATATGAGCAACCGACGTTCCATCAGCATAGAGAAAGAAAAATAGGGAGTGCTGTAAGAATAGAAGATATCAAGGTGTGTGTGTGTGTGTTATGATCCGGCGCAAAAAGACAAAGATCTCGTTGCCCTAGACTATGCTACGCCACCTCTTGAGGTTCCTCACCACCCAACCACCCCCGAGCTACCTCAAAAGCTCCACTGCGCCGCCGCTCCACTGTGAGCCCTAGGGTAGGTTAAGTCCCTTACCCTAACATGCCTTAATATACCCTTGAGCCTCCCTTTGACCGACGTTGACCACGTAGTCAAAGCTGGCGCCTAACAATTCTTCCCCCCCAACAAAGTCCTTGTCCCAAGGACGAGTTGTACCGGTGATCACCCTTTCTGGGGAATCCTGCTCAAGCTCCTAGTCCATCTTCCACAGCCGTATACATCAAGGAGGCATTGGGCCCGTCACTCCGAGATAGTACACCTTTCAACTGGCTGACATAAAATACCGGATGAATTTTCACCCCAACTGGCAGCCGCACCCGATAAGCCGCTTTACCAATGCGCTCCAGCACTTCATATGGACCAGCATAGCGATGGGAGAGTTTATCACTCTTCCCTGTCCGTAAAGGCACTAAGGTGTTCCGCCGCTCACTTGACGAAAAGATCACTCGCACAAAGACGAGATCACCCACCTTATATTCCCGGAATTGGCGATGCTCATTAGCAAACTTCTCCGCTCTATCCTGAGCTGCTTGCAAATTCCGTTTGCATACCACCAGAATCTCATCAAGTTCTGTGGCCAGATCAGTTGCCTCGGAATCAAGCTTTTCTTGAACGTCCTTACTCAAATGCAATCCCAACTCCACCGCTGTGCGAGGATGCCTTCCAAACATCGCAAAGTAAGGACTTAGCTTGGTTCCACTGTGTTGGCTATTGTTGTAAGCAAATTGCACCAACGGAAGATATAGATCCCACTGTCCTTGCCTTTGACCAATGCTACAACGTAGCATATCCTCCACCACCTGATTCACACGCTCAGTTTGCCCATCCGTCTGAGGATGATCTCCACTCGAGAGTTTCAAAGTCACTTGCATAGCCTTTGCAAAACTTTTCCAAAATCCACTGGTGAACTTTGAATCTCGATCACTAATGATGTCCTCCGGCAAACCAAAATCAGGAAAAACCTTCTCCAAGTAAACCGCAGCCAAGTCTGAGGCAGTGACAGTCTTCCGAAGAGCCAACAACCGCACATACTTCGTCAACCGATCTACTATGACCCATACTTGCTCCTTTTGCCTCTGTGTTCGTGGCAAACAAGTGATGAAGTCCATAGAGATACTACACCAACGGCTCTGAGGAATAGGTAAAGGTTGCAAAAGTCCCCCCGGCTTCTCCCGTGGCACCTTAACCCGCTGACAAAGCTCGCATGATTTACAATACTTGAGGATATCAGCCTTCATATTCCTCCAATAAAAGTTGCGCTTAATCAACTCATACGTCTTCTTCCCCCCAAAATGACCGGCCTCTGGACGATCATGATAGTGGAATAAAACTTGAGTAATTAACGCATCCACCCGTGGCAAATAGACACGGCCATTGTAGTAGAGAATCCCATCCACCAATGAGAAAGGAGCTTCCATCTGGTCTCGCAAAGAGGCCACCTCAGCATCCTGAGCCTGAGCATGCTCAACCAACTGCCCAAACTCGCTGACCACCTTACTCAAATGATGACAAAATCGTGTTCGTAACATCGTCACACGACGAACACGAGATAAAGCATCCGCCACCACATTTGATTTTCCCGGACGATGCTCAATAGGAAACTCCCCAAACTCCATGAGTTTGACCATCC